CCTTCCCTTCCCTTCCCTTTCCCCTCCTAGTCCTCTTTGTATTTACAAAACCAAACACTTTGCATGTCCTTGGATCAAATTCCGTAAACCTCCGTCAAAGAATATGCGGCCCTCCAGTCATTCCTTCTTTTAATTTCATACCAGACTTTTTACGGAAATTGCTTTCAATTCAACACTCACCCTTTCAGCTTTTATAATACATTGAAATTTGCGGAATTATAGCTCATTCCCCCCGAAGACATGCATACTCTCAGGTTGAACTTGGACAAGAGCGCTCATTGAATTTGTTATTGTAAGGTTCATTTTTTCCAAATAAAAAATGAACCCTTAAATGACTATAGGTATTCTTTACCGCTCCTGGGCCTTGCGCGATCGTGTATTCTGTAATAAGATCTCGTTTTTTTCCTGTAGGGGATGCGGAACAGTTGAAACTCAACAGTGAAATGTCTCTATTTCAGCGTAATGTCTCCTGATCTAATAGCTGTTAAACCATAAGAAAGCAAATGATGGGAGTGAGAATCTATCTTGATCAGCTTTTAGGGATGTTTCTGTTTTTTTATGGCAGGTGATCATCCACTCATACGCAATCTCCTCACGCGCTGAACAGCATTTTCTTTACTGTGATAGATATGAATACTGTATCTTATTACACGCTATGCCCAAGAGTCTTTAGAGTCTTAAGAGATTTATGTGCAGTTTTGCTTCAACTTCTGAAGTGCAAATTCTTCCACACGATCCGTGTCACCGCATATCTGCTGGTGCTTTCAGTCTATACTGTACTCACATCCGAAACTCCGATTCTGAATCAATGTGCGATTGTAGAGCCATCTGATATAATAAATCTCTTCTTTATGTGAGTACACAATGTCAATAGCTGCCCATTACTGTATCGATAGCATTCTGTGAAGAAGAATAGCTGTATTCTTTCCATAGATCGAGACGCTGAACGAGGGTCATCTCGTGGTTTGTTTTTGTGAAAGCTGTAGGTAGAAAAAAAAAAAAAACAACAACAACTGAAGAACCTCTTTTGTTTTTAGAGCTCATTTTAAAAGCTTTCGATTCGTCCTCCTCTTCAGTCGGGCGGGTCTTTGAGGGCAGGACTGTGCATATGCAGATGACACAAATCGCGTATTTGTCTTCTAATGAAAGGGAACACGGATCAATTCAGACGCACAGCTTGTAGAATCATTGTATGGGGGGAAATTATGATGCTGTGCTGCAGTGGATGCAGTTATTCACCCCCAACAGTCAATGTGTCAGCGAAGGGGCCGGAGAGGGAGAAGGACAGGAACTTTGTAAAGATTGTGGAAATGGTATCAGTGGACTTTGGAGGATTGATGGCAGATTTGATGCTTCGGTGACTCCAAAGTTCAAAAGTAGTGCTGTGACTCCTCCATTAACCTCCTCCTCTCCTCTCCTCTCCTCTCCTCTCCTCTCCTCTCCCCTCCTGTTGTGTATGACGCCCGCTGCTCCTGCCTCAGTCTGTGCAGCTTGATATATGTCTAATGGGCTTCAGGTTCCAGTGTAGCATGACACCGTCAGTAATCCTGACCTGTCAGCGCCGCTGTATCTGCCCAGCGCCACTCCATCAGGGCTCTCACACTGCAAAAATGTTGGTTTTTCATTGAAGGGCGAGAGATCCTCTTCTCCCCCCGTTTTCCTTCCATCTACTCCGGGCGATGCATCTCTGTTCTGGCGATGACGGAGGGATGGAAAGGAATCGTAATTCTGTTAGTTTTTCACATTTCGGTACAGACTGTTCTGTATTGCGTTTGCACGGTTGTTATCGATTGGTTCCTCTTTGGTGATTTATTGATAGAATGCCTTCATTGATGGACTCAGCATTTTATCCTAAACATATCTCAACAATATGTCCTCATTTCATCCAACAATGCAATATACTGTGCTAATGCAAACACACGCTTTTGTCCGTTCCCCCGTAGACTTGAGAAAGACGTTTGACCAGGAACCTCTCGGAAAAGAAGTGTCACTGGAACAAGAAGTGTTGCTGCAATGTCGGCCACCTGAAGGCATCCCAGCTGCTGAGGTAAGATTCGGGGGATTCATCACTGAGCCGACGCACAGTTGTTGTTTGGATAATTACGTCGTTTGTTTGAACAGAAAAGTTATAATAGGGACATGTTTCCCATAGAAATGCGCCCGTACTGAGCTCAGCCGACAGCTCTCACCTCAAATCCAGTGAGCTGGCTTTTCTGAAAGGAGATTTATGTGACTTTTTTACTGCTAGATTCTGCTGAAATGTCACCGTTTTTTTTCTTCTTTAAGCTTAAATGTCCACCACCTTTTCACCATACTGTATGTATTCCTTAGCATGTTTGTGGTGATGCCAGGCTTTAGTTTTGTTCCACATATAGCGGCGAAAACTGTGTTTTGTTTGTGGGAATTTGCCTCAATTCTGAGCTTGCCCGTTTCAGAATTTGTCATAAAATAACACTGAATAAATCTGACACGGTACAGTGCACTGATAAGAGCATTTTTTTCACCGTTGCCTTGGCTATTAAAGTTTGTTGGGTATTTCCTAAACGGTCGCTGCAATTTGGAGGAAAGAAAATTGTAATTATGTGTTGAGGGGGGAAGAAAAAAAAACCCGAGTTGTGTCACTGTGCAACCTTGGTTTGGCCAATATCTCCTCCCTGTTCTACTTCCTCGCTGCCCTACAGGAGAACAGTGTTAGAGCAGCATTTGAAAAGGCTCAGTTGAGATTGCAGGAACATAAATAGAGGATGAAAGTGTGGTTTAATGGGTTGAGGGGGGGGAGTGTGCGGATATGTGTGTGTGTGCTTTTTTTTTTTTTTGGAGTTGGGGGTGCAGGGACTGAACTCTGTAAAGGCTTGTGATTGACCTGGAAAAGCTGAGTTAAGTGAGTGGAACTGCACAGCATTTATCCCCTGCTGAAAGTGCTGACAAGTTAAATGGACGAAAGTTTAGGACTGGCACTCCACAGACTCTCTCCTCATACAATCCAGGCTTCAGTCTGATGGTGTTTCTGTAACAGCCATATAGTGCTGGTGATTCTGCCGCCCGTCTGAGGTCTCTGTCAATCCTTGGATTGGCTCAGTGCAGCGATTAAAGACTCAGCTGGGGTCCAATCATGGCACATCTATGCTTTCTGAGATAAGGAGTCGCTGTGGCAATCCAGACGCACAGCGAAGAGTAAATAGGGGATTTTTTCAGCATCATCAGTTTGGATAAAGGAGTTCGTTTTATTGTAGTTGTCCAACACTGAGCCAGTCGTCTGTTCAACAAGTACTGTTTGGAACGCTGAGGTTCCAGCGCATCAAGGCAAAATTGTGTTTATGACGTCTGGCAGTTGTACTAATTCACCTCTTCTGAAAGCATTTAACAGATTTTTCCCAGCATCTGTATTCTGAAAACTGTGATTGTTTTCTGTTTACTTTTCTTTCTATGATCATGTTGACTTTTTTATGTGTGTACAGAGGCACACTTCCAGCATCTTTAATTACTCACACTTACCTCATGGCTGCGAAAAAAAACAAAAAAACAAAAAGACAACAGCTTCATTTCACAAGATATTTTTATTTTTTCTTTCTAAAACTCAAAGTCAGCTGCCTCAGTTGGGAAAAAAGGACAAAACTGAATGCTGCTTTTTTTTTTTCATCTGTGTTTGTCAGGCCTTTTCTCACACGAGCTCACCAGAGAAAGAAAAAAAAAAAAACTCGGAAAAAGCAGATGGGCTAAGTCTGTGGTTACATATGAATCTGCAGAAGTATGTAGCAGCCGCTGTGAAGGGAAGATCTGTCATATTTCACCCGCTCGAGACGCAGAAAATATAGAGAGGACGAGGGAGGCTGAAGGCAGAAGGAGAAGAGCTGTTATGGTTTGTCAGGGCTGGATTCTGTGGGTTGTTGTCAGGCCTCCAGTCGGCTGTCAGTTCACTCTGTGGTTCCTTTACAGGCCTTTGCCCAGTGAGCGAGAGGCTGGCAAGATGGCAGGCTGTGGCTGAGCCATAAAACCCATACCCTTACAGCACTTTTGTTTAATCATGTGGACCTTATGTGATGGATGCTGGCACCGCTATTGTCTCGCGAAAAAGGGACAAACACGACACACACACATGTGCTGACGGTTGCATTTTCACACGCATGTCGGAGTGCCGGCGACGGCGTTAACGTGTCTGTGTGCGCGGGTCCACATGATAACAGGCTGCCAGCAACTCAGCTGAGCACTGAAAGGCTATTCATCCATTCTATAGAGTGAACGTTGTGATTGTGGTTGACCAGCTGGCAGAAATAGATTCGGTGCTGATGAACTGGAAGGAGGAATCAAGACTTTCTGTGCATCCTCTTTTCAGGGCCGGAATGAAAGAGGTTCGTGAAGAAAATCTGGCATTTCATCCGGCATGTATAACAAGGTCAGCGCAGCTTTTACACGTTACAAAGTGCAGGCAACCGTCGGCGTCCTCTGCTGCCACTGTTGATTCTACTAGAATAACGTTCCACTGTCCACACTTTGTGATACTCCAAAGGTTGTTAATATTTTCACTTCAGCTGTCAGCGATCTGCGTTCTGTTGAGATCAGCCACGATGCCAAAATGGTGCGGCTGTACGTCACCACCCCACACACACACACACACACACACACACACACGCAGAAATAAGAAGCCCACGTTCTGCAGAATCAAAGTAAGTCAATCATAATTAGTTTTGATCTGCGCACACAAAGTGGCTGTTTGATGTGAGCCAGTATCAGTCTTGTGTTCCTTCTTTTTCTTCCCACTTTTCAGATGATTTACATTATAAGTTGTCATGATGGTTTACCATAGTAATGACATCCTGTGATTCTATTTAAGTGGTTTTGAGTCTTTGCTGGCTTTCTGCGGGGGCTGCATTGCCCTGAAAACTAAACATTATGCTGAATAGTCTGGATTGTTTCTGTGATGATGCAGCAGTTTTTCATAGCGGGGCATATGAAACAGTTCCCATCAAACATCTCAGAGGTTTTGATACTCCAAGTTCAATCCGAGGTAACCTAGCCCTTATTTTTTCGACCGGTTATTCACAGTTGATACATAAATTTTCTGAAGTACAGCCTGTCCCTGAGTTGTGGAATACACACATGCACGCACAAGCGCACACACAAAGAAAACAAGCAGCAGGCGTTTATTTTGGCTCTCCCCGTGACCATTACCAATGGAACTTTGGCCTCGCAGAGCTGAAATACAGCGAGTGAGGTTTCTGAAATAGCACAAGGATTCAGTCATCTTGAATGTCTTGTACGCTCTGAAAAAATGAGACACTCGACAGGCTCCCTTAAAGTAATTGTTACACGTTTCCATAGCCATGAATATTTGATATATACTTAATCAAGAGCAGAAGGAAAATGTAACTGTTCGGGCTATTCTAGGAACAAGAGACAAGGAGCGATTTTGGCAGAAAAAAGCTCCGTGCATGGTTCCACTGTTATGAGGGCTTACTGGCTTACTGAGAGCAGCCCATATAATAATAAAGGTAAAGATGGGGATGGAGGACTTTCCATCAGCTCAATGCAGATCCTTCCTTTAGAATACCTCCGTGAAGCTCTTTCATCGACATCTAAAGGGCCTCCGCACAACCAACAGTGGCCTCTTTTCATACTCCAGAATATGTGGCAGCCTCATAAAATGGACAGCAAAAAGAATGCGGCTTTATTGTCCCCCTTTCTTCTGCCGGGCCCTCCATCTACGTCTCAGAGCACTTGTCACAGCCCCGCGACAAAGACGAGGGTTCAGAGGTGATGCGGCACCGCGAGCCGCTGAGCCTGTTTCCATGGAAGCAGGATTTTAATTCGGGCATCTCCTCAGTCAGCCGGGGTCCTGCCGTGTTATCACGGGTAACGAGTCATTGATGCTCTGCGGGGAAGGGGCCCTGCTGCCATGATTAAGACCATTGGCTTTACTCAGAAGAAAGCCAGGAAACACAAAGATCTTTACTTCACACTTCCTCATCCAGAGAAGTGGGGGAAAAAAAAAACTAAGCCAGATGAATTTAAACAGCTCAGGCAGCAGCCGGAGCCAAAATCGAGATTTCATGCACAGTTCTTTGAGCCCAGTGGGGACGGCAGATTTTGTTATTAAGCTCAAATTGTGTTTCCTCACCCAATGTGCTGATAATGACTAGAGACACTGAGTATTATGGTGTAAAATCTGATATAGTTCAAATATGGCACCTTTTCCACACATTACACCATGTAAATGTCAGTGATTAATGTTGATTTTAGGCCCAGTTTCACTTAATAGGTGATTTGAAGGCCCACCGCCACCGCGAGCTCATCAGGTCACCTTGTCAAAAAAAAAAATAGCTGAGTGCTTCTTTCCTGTAAAAACGGTGCATAGTTGAGTTATGAAGGGAATGTCAAGAGTAACAACACTTCAGTGCCCAGTGAAACAGGAAGTGCATTTTCATTAAGATTACCCGTGGGAGAGAAGGTGTCAGGAGGCCAGACCAAATCCCCGTGGCAACCAACCAAAGATTGCCCTTCAGGCACTCACCTGTCAATCATTGCAGTTTTTCCTGTGCAAAGCCTGTGATTTACTCTAATAGCCCACATTTGTGAGCTCTGCTGTCCTCTGCAAGTCGCTGCCCTTTCTACTGTTACCTCCACTGGGCCAGTTTTACATGTAAAATTTCCTGCTGAACAGGGTTTTCTGTGCATATATTCCATCGCAGCTTCCTTTGAGGCAGAAAAGAAAATATTACTCAATACATAATAGAAACTGATCCGTGAAAACAAAGCCAAAAAGCTGCTACATCGACTCTCTGGGCTGCAAGACCAACAGACGTATTGAAAACCCCCCTTTTGCCATTATTTGTATTTTGGACCATTGGTTCTTCTGCCGTCACGGCTTTTCCCGAGCACTTGAGGTAAACACAACATATCTGTTTGCGGTTCCAAAAAGGGTATAAAATGATTTAAAAAAGAATCACATTTCTCCAGCAAACAGGAATCATATAGGGAAGGTGACTCGCTGGGTGCCAGGTGGTAGTTTCATTCGACATGGGAGAAATAAAATAAAATCAGACGGTTCTT